AGGATTCTTTAAGTGCGCGCGTTCATTCTTCTGTAAGTGGTTTTCGTATTGCCACTAACTAAAATGGGCAATAAGCGGAAGACTCGTGCCAAGCCTCCAGGTATAACAAAGGCTAATATTGGACTGCTAAAGGATAGCCATTGTATACACCCTTTTAATAAGTCCCGAGGTATTACGTTCTCCGCACTTGACGTCAAATATATTCTTTTGAATTCCTTTTGTATTGTAAAAATTTCAAAAGAATAAATTTGACGTCAAGTGCGGAGAAAGCAATACCTTGGGACTTATTAAAAGGGTGTATACCTGTCTACAACAGTCAATTTGCACTAGTAGTTTAGAATTATCCTAATAATTCTTTGTTCATTCACTGCTGTAAGGTTTTGAATCTTTCAACGTTTATCCCTGGGCAAGGTAACTGCAATCCCTATCGTATCTGTGTATAAAAGGACGCATCGTTTTCATCGTTTGGAAGATGAGAACTTTGATGCATTTCTTGTTGTTTCTCTTCAATTGTCTCGCTTACCTAAGTAAGTATTTATTACTAGACTTTTACTAGTCAAAAAAGAAAATACATGCCTATCGAGTGTTTGGGCTATTTTGATATAGAACACAAGAGAACAATGAGTATGAAGCCGTTTTTGTAGGTTTATGCGACTTAGCAGCGACGGAAAAACAGTAGTTTATAACTGAACCCTTGCTATTTCATATTTTGCTTTTGTTTTTTCTAATTTACAGCTCAGTCGCCGCGCGCGGTCAGTTTCGGCAACGACACCGMAAGCATTGCTGCTTCGTCTATAAGTCATTTTAAATATCATACTTTTTCAGCTATTTTGCTATTTATCATGTAAAGTATTCAGGGTTAAAAACAGTGTAATTAGTAGTTGGAAAAATTTTATTGGGTCTGAATGCTATTTACAATAGAGAGAGTGCAAACGCAGCCATTCATGAACAAGACTAGATGCTTTGAGGACAAAATAGAGTGATCGAGRCCACTTTCACTATCACAGTAAACTGCTTTAATGAATCCATATACTACTATAGTTTACATGTACAAAACAAAATTGCTTAAATTTACTTTATAGTAAATATATCTTCAGATTTATTGGTCATCATGATTCAAAATCAAAATCCGCATTCCTCATGCTGTCATGGTTCATGCCCTCGACGTCTTCTAAGTACTGCGTTCAAGCAGACGAGAGTGCGAGATCGAGAGTCCAGTGCTTTCGCTATAAATCAATCTGGATTATTGACACATGGCAATTGAGTCTTTTCATGCAGAATCAAGTTGAATAGTTTTAAATAAAGAGAAGCGATGTGTTACGTGACAGATCGGCAGACTATGAATAATATAATAATATAATATAATTGCTAAAGAATTACCGTCTTTTTGTAATTTACTGTATAGTAACTATATTAAGTGGGCAACGTTAAATAACGCCACTACTTAATAAATCTAAATTCTAAAGTAATAGTTTAAAAAAACTATACGAAACATCGCAATAGAGTGAAGATATTAAATCCGTGAAAAAAACTGACTAAGGTGAGATAGTCACTATATACTTAGAAGAAAACAGTGGAATTAAGGTGTATAACTAAGGTGTATTGGTATAGAGTGGTTTTCATAAACCCGTGAAACAAAGTAATAATTAGAGTGTAATAGATCGCAATAGTCGCGTAGAGACAATAAAAAATATAAGAGTCAAAGTGTAATAGCGATAAATACCCTAAAGTGTGCTTCACGGGTTAATGAAAACCACTCTAGTACATGTAAAGAGCAAACGCAGGAAAACCATGAAAAAAAGCAAACTAAATACTAACAAATAGCGGCTATTTAGAGACAATTTATCAGTATCAATTACCCAGAACGCAATATAAAGATGAATTAAAAATAGTCTCCAACGGTTGGAGTGCAAGCTCCAAAAATCATGCAGAACAAAAGTACTGCATGCCATATGCTAGGCTGAAGTACTTTTTTGAAATTATTTTGTAGGTATTGTCAAGAGCATCAATTGCTATTCTTGTTTATCAAAAGAATCTTGGTCGAGCTGTCAAAGAAATGCAACAAAACTTCATTGTGGTAGTGATGTCACCGCTTGTGCTGTAGCGTCTATGAGAAATCCTCTGAACCCCAATATCACAGAGTTTGGCAAAGGTTGCGCCAAATCATGTGATCAACATTACTTCAACTTACAGTGCAGCTATGAATATGGCGTKGATTGTCACACTAAAATCCTGTGCTGTTTTGGAAGGGACTATTGTAACGAACCTAACCCCCGSCTGAGGTCAAGTTCAACTGCAACTTGTATCCCATTCAMTGTGTTGSAGACTTGTGCAGGAATKTTGACTACTCTTCTTATGCGCAAACTTATGTAGCGTTCCACGTGTCACATGATCAAGAGAACATGAACTTAGATAGATACTATATCCTTCATTTATCCATGGTAAAAATTCATCAGCTATATACAAAATCAACTAAATAACTATTATATAACCATATATGATATAATTAGTGAAAATTAACGATCGAAGCCATCGTCTCAGTACGCGCATCAAAGGAGYAGGAGCCTATTGCTAACAATGGGATCCTGACCGCACCGAATGATGGCATTGACAATGACCCTTTAAAAGTACACAGTGCATACGTTTTAATAAAANTATGTCAACATCTTATGGGAAAACGTAAAAGCTGGTAATTATATATCTCATATTAAAATCGTTTCATGATTTGATGATGCCGGCGATGATGCCTGATGGCGTCCGACGAAGTCTTGTCACTTTCGTAGTGTACGGCCCTCAACTCTCATTTTAATKAAAATATTGAAAAATACACGATATAGAGTAGATGCATTCAATTTATACTTTAAATGGCTTGCAAACTATATAAAATTAGTGTAAAATCCTTTGTCTTCTATTGTTTGATCAGTGTAAATTTGCGCATTCGTAATTTCTTGCAAAATCTTTCRCAGATTTAGTCAATGGACAATCGTTGAATGACAAAAATAATGGAAAGATCTAAGACGCGCGCACGATTGGCAAGGTCCAAAATCCCACTAACGGTTTTAACGGCGTATAATTTATTACACATTTCCAGGGAGTGAAAAGAAGATGGTCCGACGGAAATAGTTTTTTCCCATCATTTTTATCTTATTGCTTTATATCACAACTTTTTTTTCATTCTTAGTTTCATTTTTTTCTTTCTTATCTCAGGTCAGCAGCACAATTTTAACAAATACGACTCTGGACAAATGGATACAACTGGTGTACGACTTTGACAGCGTGATGCATTATGGGAATTATGCCTTTTCGAAGAAYAAAAAACCGACAATGCTGTCAATCAAGGATCCTATGTTGAACTTCGGAAGACTTAGGCCAACGTTGAGTAAAACTGATATAGTACAGCTTAATGCTCTTTACGATTGTAAAAGTAAGTATCGTATAAAAAAGTTCACTTTCTGGATCATCATAACAAATTAAAGTTGTACAGACAATAATAGAGACCGATAAGCTATAAGCCATCGTTCTAAAAAGAAATTATATTTGTAAACGACAACATTGCGCCCCCCAATACGTTTAGCTTCTATACCTTGCGATAAAATTGCGTTTTTTGTTATGGTAGAGAATCACCTCGAATCATCGCGGTAGTAGGCGCATAAGACATTCGCCTTCCCCATCCAGGTATCTATTTCCTTGGCTGCCATTTTGACTCCACTACAGGATGCTTTGCGTAGATGTGATTGTCATTAATTCTGATTTTAGCATGGTAATCTGATTGGCTGAAGATGCGATTTAGATAAAAAAGATGTTAAATTTAAAAATAATAATAATAATAAACTTTATTGAGGATACTTTTTCATTAAAAATGATTTTCAAAAAGGACCAGGAATAAGACAAAAGTCATCCTAATTACGTCATACAGGTTTCCCGTGTAACCACGGGGTCGGAGGTTGATAAGTTATGCAATCCATGGATTTTATCTGCTGGATCATGACGATTTAGGGACTGCGCAATATTTATCAGGAGGGGCAATAAGTATTTGGTCAAAAACTACAGAATCTGACACCGTTGATTTTTCAGTTTCCAATTAAAGTTCAAGTTAATTTTAGACGTCGCCCTCCCCCTCTTTAAGCACATAAAATTAGATTTTGGCCCCCCCCCTGGATTCTCAACCCCCCCGTAAATATTGTCCCTTATGCGCAGATGGACAACGCTATTCTGTTTTCGTTCGACTAAACTCGGACCTCAATGGGACGGTTTGGTCTGATTTGAACCTTTGCTATTTATTTTCAGCTAAATCGGGAGGTTGGAGCTCATGGACCGGTTGGGGACCGTGTAACCTCGGTTGCGTAAAGACAAGAGAACGATTTTGTACGGATAAATCTCGACGAAATTGTCCCAACGTGGATCGCAATGGGATCCAGACTCAGGCAGCCAAWTGCCGAAAAGATGAATGTAATGGTAAGAAAAGATATGCAAAAATCAAGTAGTCAGATTTGATACAGCTGCCAAATCAGTTAGTCAATTAGTCAGGGTCGTCACGAACCGATCGGAACGAATCTCCTGAATGGTTGAGAAAGTAATACACAAAAAATCAAACAATACATGCGCGCTCTTTCAAACAATAATACGAAATCTAACATAAAAATAGACGTTGTGTAGTTAAGGAGCAATCAAAGAGCAGGTTCCGATGGGTTTATGGCGACTGGTCCAGTCAGTTAGTCACTCGGTTGGTCAGTCAATCGATCATTCAGGCATCTTTATTGTTGGKCTCCCTGTTCTGCATTTGCAGTACCAATCCCTGGGCACTGGGGCCGCTGGGCACCATGGGGGAAGTGTAGCAATCAACGCAGACAAGTCGGACAAGGTTTCCAAACAAGATCAAGACARTGTGACAACCCTCGCCCTCAATTTGGAGGAAAATTCTGCAAGGGATCTTTTGTAGAAGTACAAGACTGCTGAATAAATAAGAAGTATTTTAATACATTTTCTATACAAAATTGTAAATTTTTTCCATTTCTGATTTGTCGATGCACGAACGTATCTAGATCTCTGACTCAAGGACGAATCATTAAAAATAAACAAAAACTAAACTTAACAATAAAGGTTGATATTTATTGGTACTATGTAATGAAAGCTATACAAAGTAGGGTTTTCTCTTGGCCGTATTTTGATGCGCTGCAAAATTCGCAAGTGCAAACGAGCCTTACCAATGAAACTACGAAAGCTCGTAGACATAGACATTTGCTAGGTTTAAAATCAGTTTGAATCAATGTGCAGATATTTACTTAAGCATAGACTGAGCCGTTCTTACGTGTAGGATCAAAATTCTTTCAATTGTGGCAGATGCACATGCTCATTAGAAGTTCAATATACATTATCACTGTGTTTTCTCATTTTTTTTGGTTTTTCCTAAAATGATAACAATAGGCGATATGCATTATGGCGTCAATTACTACAACTACCAGAATGCTTTGCCAACTTTCTTTTGTAATGCAATTAGTGCCAATTGTTTTATTAATCTCCAAGGGGATTAGAAATATGAATAACAATGAAAATGCGCAAGGCTCTCTGGTAGTTGTAGTAAAATTACGTCATAATGCAAACGGCCTATTTCTCGATGTTGGAGTTCTAGAAGTAGTATAAAAAACTTGCAGTCGTGCTTTATCGGGGATATAAAAAACTTGCAGTCGTGCTTTATCGGGGATATATCCCCCGATAAAGCACTCCTTCTCGTTTTTTAAACACTGCAAAAAATATTCTGTTTAAAGATATGTTATGATATATACATCATTAAACAAAGCGTGCATTCATTCAATTTGAAATTATGTCCAGATCATGAACTAGTTTTCAGTGCGAATCGAAAAGCCGTGAACGCTTCGAAATATTTCGGGAATGTTCATTGTTCATTGACCATTCGGGAGGGAGATCAACCGTCATTTAAGTGATCAGTTTCTCATGTGTAACTTTGATCAAAACTTCAACGTTACAATTAAATAAAACCCTAGTTTTTTTATCACCAACAAACGGGCAGTTAAAGTTACAAAATTAGCACGATTTCGTTGTTTAGAATAAACACAAAGTTTGTTCATATCTGTTTTTCATCTTTTCTTCTTGTTTGACGCTAAAGTCGCTTTTCAAGTACACATTCTCGTATGTTCTCGAAATATTTCTGGGCGGTCGCGGATTCAGCGGGCTTCCTGTACTGTCACGTGATTTCATCAAATTTTCGCTCCCATGATCCTTTTCGATCATTAAAATTTGCAACGCGATGGGAGGAAGATTTTCATTTCTTCATTGAGGCAGGTATCATTGTAACAGTTGACCAACTCAACGCACGCTAATTAACCGTTGTATATAGAACCGGCCGCCATTATGAATAAATAATAACCTTTAAGGTCATTAAAAAAACACACCGCCATCTATGAAAGAGATTCGTTCACGAGGGAGGGAGAGAGGGTGGTAATTSTTAGGTCACTTTATAAATGCTTGTCGCTATTAAAATCACAAAAAAAGATCTGATCCTTTAGATAATTTCACATGAAACATGTTGGTCRCAAGTTGTTACTCAAAGGTTTCTAAATAATTTGTACAGGATATTAAAACTGATTTTAAAGATTTAATGTTTGTGACTTCCACCCCCTCCCCCTCKCCGYTCTTTTTGGCGTGCCTACCCCGYTGATGAATATATAAACAAGCTTCAGGAGACTTATGTCAAACGTTTTTTTTTWAATTCCTGTTATAATGAAGACGATTTGCATGGTGTTTGTGGTATGGAGTTTCTTTCAAAATGGTAAGCATGTTTTTATGAAAAAATGGGATTTTTTTCTATGATGAATTCAGTTTTGGTAAATGGATATTTGTCTTTTTACAGCGAAAAATAACAACATATTGTACAATCAAACACTAAAACCATGAAAACTTAGTAATTAAATAATGTTAGATTTACTGAGTTATGCGCCCGTTTCTTAATTTGTTGTCTAATTTACACTATATTGCACTATATTGCATTTTCTAG